TAATAATAATAATAATGACAAGGGGTCGGGTCTGCCAGGCTGACAGATGGGAACCAGGCGATGCTCACCCTCAGCTGGACTCCTCTGGACTGGGTTAGGGGGTAGGTTGGGGGGGGGCAGCCTTTACCGGCCTCCAGTTCAATTCATTCCTCCTTTGACCCCCCACACCCCCTCAGCTGCACCACCCACGCACCCAACACGGAGCAGAAACTAACCCGGCTCTCACACACACCAGCAACACAAATGTTGACAGAAGTGTTGAATGGAAACTATTCTGCTTTGCTTTTCTGTTGTATTTCTTCTTCTCCTTGTCTAACTCCTCCCCMCCTCCCTGCTATTTATTTTTTCTTACTTGGACTATTTTTATTGTTTTTGTTTGTTTTTTTTTACACACAACAGGGCTACACCTTGAAACCGACCGGAGTCACAGTGCTGGGCTTGTATCCTCGGAGAGCACAAACAGGGTTCAGCTGTGGGAGAAGCTGAGACAAACCTGCCCCCCCCCTCCCCCCCTTCCCTCACGCGCTCTCTTCTCCATATTCACTGCAGATATTGTGTAAATACTCACTGCAATCTATTATACATAAAACACCCACTAGATCGTTTGATAGTCCAGTGATTTATATATAACCATGAGGGATAAATAAAAACGACTTCTTTTTTTTTTTTTCCTTGGAGAAAAAAAAAAATGAAAAAAGAGAGAAACGGAGGAGCGGTTCCTGCAGAGTTCACTGGACCGGGGTCTGGACCCCGTGGTGCGGCGGCGTGTCCCCGTACACATCCTCGCTCCCCGGCAGCGCTCCTCCGGGAGGAGTCATGCGTTTCTCCTTCTGTCTCCTGTTACAAAACCAAACCCTCACCACCTCTTTCTCCAGGTGAAGACTGTCCGCCAGCGTGATTATTTCCGACGCGGCCGGTTTAGGGCACTTCAAAAAATGGCTCTCCAAAGCTCCTTTTACGCTCACCTCGATCGAGGTCCGTTTTTTCCGTTTCCTGCCCTGCGCCGCGATCTTGTCCAGGCTGGTCGGGCTGCCCGAGGTGGAGTCCGCCTCCTCCAGCCACTTGTTCAACAGAGGCTTGAGCTTGCACATGTTTTTGAAGCTGAGCTGCAGGGCCTCAAACCTGCAGATGGTGGTCTGTGAGAACACATTTCCGTACAGGGTCCCCAGGGCGAGCCCCACGTCCGCCTGCGTGAAGCCCAGCTTGATCCTCCGCTGCTTGAACTGCTTGGCGAACTGCTCCAGGTCGTCCGACGTCGGCGTGTCCTCGTCCGAGTGGTCGTGGTGGCTCTGCGGCCGGTGCTGGTGCTGAGACGCGGGGTGGCCGTGCTCGCTGAGGTGCGGGCTGTGGTGGTCCTCGTGCGTGTCTCTGAGGTTGTGGTGGTGCATCCCCTGCCCGCTGCCCGGGATCAGCCCGTTGACGCCGAAGCCCGGCTGGGAGTAGATGAGGCTCTGGCCGTTGGTGGTCGCCATGCTCGGTATGTGCGCCGAGGTGGTGGTTCTCCACGCGCGGCTGTCGTGGTGGTTCCCGTGCGCCTGGTGCACCAGGTGCGGCGGCCGCGACTGCTGGTGCTGCAGGTTGTTGCCGGAGCTGTGCATGTCCTCCCGCGCGCTCTGCACGGCCGGCTTGATGTCCTGCTCCGCTCCGAGCGGGCTGGAGGACCACGGGGCGCCCTCTCCGTGGGACAGCGCCGTGATCCACTGGTGCGCGTGGCTGAGCGTGTGGCTGTTGCTCTGCAGCGGGTAGTCGCTCTGCAACAGGCTCTGCGCGTCCCGGTACGCCGACGCTTGCTGCATGCTGCCGGGCTCCGAGTGCACGATGGATGCGCTRGAGGTGAGGATGCTGTAGTGGTTAGACGCTGCGGTCGCCATGACTCTCGGAGCCGGACTGGTCGCTCGGATTAAAGGAAGCCCGCATTTGACAGGTCCTCTCCTGCCCATAGGCGGCTCCCAGGCGCTCTGCCAAGTGGACGCCGAGGCGCACCTGGACTCCGCTCCGCCCCGCTCGCCGCTCATTGGGCGCCCGGGAGGTGATGGACGTGGTTGCCAGGGGCAACGGCGCAGCGATTGGCTCGCCGCGAGTTTCCACAAACACCATCCTCTCTCCGGCGGAGAGGCGCGAGCCGAGGCTCGGGTGAAGCGGAGAGCCGGAGTGCAGCATGGGGGAGACGGAGCAGCGGGATCAGCAGAGCAGCTGTAAGATCCAAACCTCCTGTTTTTTCTCCTGAACCAGGTAGTCCAGCTCCAGCTGAGGGTTTCCTCCAAATGAGGCTAAAGCTGTGCTGCTTATTATTCATTGTAGATGTGTRCACATTAAGTAAATTAAATGTAAAAATGTAAAACTGGATTTGACAGTTTTTCTTAGAACAAATAATTAGGTTGAATTAACTTGATTCAATGTAACATTTAAAAATATCTTAATATTTCTGCATTTGTTTTATAGTTTTTTTGTAACATGTTTCAAAATGTTTTCTTTTTGAATTATAAATGAACACTGTACTGCTCTGTTTGTCATATCCATCATCATTTTAAACTAAACCATGACATGTACACAAATTATTTCAATAAATAAACAATTCATGTATTATTTTTAGTTTGGGAATGAAAAAGCCTGATAAAAATGTTAATGCATGTGCTTTAAAAATAATTTATTATGTTTAAAATGAAATAAGTTAAAACCAAAGCTTTGTAACAGTGGAATAGAAATAGGTTTTATTTTTAAAAATGTTTATAAAACCACATTTCCATTTGATATCTTTTAAAATCCTTTTAGAAATCCTGCCCAATAAAGCTCTAAGACTGACAGTTATTTGCAGTTTTTAATGTTTTCTTTTAATTCTTGGAGACTCATAAATAGACGGGTCAGTCRTGTTCCTTTTAAAACTTTTAACAACCTGCAAGCTAAACAAATCAACTTTAGGGTCTAATTAGCTTGTAAATACATTTTTACATTTATTCTTTTAGGTGGGGGTAGCCAGAAAAAGGAAGGAAAGCAAACTGAGGTTTTATCTTTAGATAACTTACAGGATAGATTTAAAATAAATAAATCTGGTTTGAAGTTGTCTAAAAGGAGGTTTACTGCAGTTTGTTGTATCGTTGTGGTGCCTTTAGAGTTTCTACAGCAGAAGAGATTTCTAATACGCTCAGGTCTTCTGGTAAACTATTAGTTAATAGTGTGAAAAGCTGATCCGGCTGCTCGTCATCCACCAAAGTGAAGACAGAAGTGAACAGAAGGATTAAGTCCAAACTCAGGCCTCCAGTCCGGGGCACGGAGGGCAGCCTTCCATCCCGTCCCAGCTGTCGTTCCCCCCAGTGTCAGCTTCAGGGACCAGGACTTTGTCCAGAGAGGGGACATTCCTGGCCAACTGCTGCTGGTTGCCATAGGGAGAGGTAAATGAAACAACAGCAGAAGCGTCACCGCTGCTGCCCCCCCTGATTCAGGACCATCTAAAGGCCTCTATTTAGAGAGGCTCTTTGCTGCGCGGACAAAGCCTTCACACGAATAAAGGAGGGAGGAGTAAAGAACGCAGGGCCCTAAAAGGAGAGAGAGAGAGAGAGAGAAAGGCTGGAAGGACTGAAAAAGATGAGATTGTGTCTGCCCTCGAAGCTGCTCCTCAGCCTTCAGTGAGATAAATCAAACTAAAATACTATGTTTTTCCTGGCACAGGCAGGTGTTAACTTTCTAACTTTAGTGTTTTTATTCTTGTAAACTGATGCGATTAAAAAGCACCACAGGTTGCAACAACTCACCGCAGTCAGAAAATATTGCTTAAATTAAACCTTTAAATCAGCACATACACAATTTGACTAAAACTGCAATTAAACATTTTATTAAATACCTTGGACCTGAGATGAAACGTAAAGGCACTTAAAAAAATGCACACACTTGTTCACACTCTCAGACATGCAGGCGGTGTTGAATTTATTCAAAAAGTTGACACAAGGACACATGTCAGAGTGCAGACCCAGGCCTGCATGGGAAGGTCCAAAACTGCAAAATGTCTGTTTTCAGTGACCTGAGTGGGCTACTTTACAAAAACAGCACCATTAAATAATCTTTAAGGCTTCAAAATATTATATTAAAGGAACAACAGAATTAAAATGTACAAAAACTAAAGAGTTATAATAACAAACTCAACATTTATCACCAACATAAACTGTAGAGTTTATTGTCATGCTTTCKGCTCGCTTGTTTACATCGGTAATATTTGCACACGGTGATATAAAGTGGATAATGAGGATCAAGAGAGAAACGCACACAAAACGCTCATATTCCATGTCCAACCAGGAGCTCTTTAATAAAAGATTTGTGATTGGGCCTTTAATGGATCTCATTTCATAGGCTAATAATCCTTTATAGATGTGGCTCCAGCTGCACTGACAGCTCACGGAGCCACCAGGATTTAAGTTGGGCCATGAAAAGTTTCCAGGCACGGCTCAGTCATTCATTCTGCTAATTTTAAACATTATTGTGGCGTAACATTGAAATCGGCCAAATCAAAAGAACATTGTGGTAATTAGGCTGTAATTCAAGGAATTACCACATCGCCACACAGGCTTAAATAGTCGTGTTGGGAGAAACGCAAAGCACATTATTTTAATGGCGTAATATGCAAACTACTGCTCGTTTCAATTACATGGCTTAACAATGCATAAATGATGCGAGCCTTGTTATTTGGACTGCAGGGTCCGCAGTTATTCAGTCACTCGGAAGGGGCCAATGAGAGGGGCCAYGCTGCACACGCGCTGAAACCCAGCGCTGAGCAGAGAGGGCTGCTGCCAGACTACATTTAAGGGAATAAAATGAACAGTAGAGAATGTAAGCGTTAAATTAACAGTAGGATAATTATATGACCCGTGTGCTGTAAAGATTCAATTTCCAAYGCTCTAATTAGGCGAATGTCTCCCCATACATCAGCTCACATCCCTCTGCCAATTTCTCACCAGAAAGCGTCCTGTGAGCGGAAATAATTAGATTTTATTAAGACACGGCTCGGGTAATAAAGGAAATCAACGGAGGGGGCTGGTTAAATATGATATGTTTTTAAAATCGCTGACTGGTTCCCACACTCAGTCCAGGGGTTCCAGGGTGAGGACAGCTGCAGAGCAGGAGGAAAGAGGATGGGGTTCGGTCACTGAGCTGCACAGAATCACCTCGTCGACAATGAGGCTCAAATGTGATGGAGGAGGTTCAGGAACGAACAAGACACCGCTTTAAATGTGGCTGATGAGGAGACTAAAACATTAAACCCGAAATTTTAATGACATCTCAGGTCAACTTGAAATTAAATCAAAACTACAGATTTAAAGTGAGAAGTATAATAATCACACATTTTCTTTGCATCACATCAACTGAAAGGAACATTTACAATCTAAAGCCCATTTCAGATGCAGTTTACACTTATAACAGTCGAAGAAATATTCATGTGTTTATATTTAAGAGAATCTGTCTTAAAATGCTCAAAATAACCTGTCCTCAGTTTTTCACCAGTTAATATATCTCTTAAGCAAAGATATTTGGTACTTAGTGCTGCAAATATAAGTGGAAACGTTCAGACAGTAACTAGTGTTTTAAATTATAAATTTGTGTCTTTCTGGGTTTATACGTTCAGGTTTCACTGTTCCAGAGTGCAAATATATGAAATGGAGCACATTGTTTTCCCACAATCAGAAGTTTGTGTTTCAGATTAGTTGTTCAGATATCAATAATTTTCCTCTCTGCCTGTTTCAAGTCTTACATAATGAGAGGCGGCCGGCCCACGCCTTTCATCCTTACTGTAATTGTTGTGTGCATCAAAGCTGCAGAGACTGACAGGCTGCATGGGAGGATTAATACAGTGGGTGAGTGACGACATACTGAGCCTGTTTCGCTCAGGAGGGCGGTGGGAGGGGGGTGAGGAAGGGAGGGGGAGACAGAGGGATGTTATGAACAAGAGATGGAGAGGAGACTGCGATGTTGGGGGTGTAGGAGAAAAAGTGGGAGAGGACAAAAAGTGTGGAGAGAGTTAACGAGAGGGAGAGCATTAATTGTGCGCTTTGTGCCGGGGCTCTTTTGCTGAGTGTGGCTGTCGAGGTGCGGGCGCTAACCCCTCCAGCAGCTCGCCGTGATCTGAACCCGCTCTCAGACTGCTGTATTCCAATGCAATTAGACCACTCAAAGGCCTGCTTAAAGCTGCACCCCCACTACGCAACACACACACACACACACACACACACACACACAC